GGTACTTTAAAGAAGTCATATTCTAATTTTACCAGGCGTTTTCCTAATAAATGGGAAAAAACCATGAAAAAACATGGGAATATAGGTAAAATATTATACAAATATTTTTAAAGAAAATAATTAATGCATATTTAATTATTTTACCATAATATGACATATGTATATAATATATTGTTGACAAATCAACACTATCAACTGAACTCCGCTCAGAACTCCTGGGAAAATGACTTCCTTAAATATTACCTAGATAAAATTTCCTTGAAGAAAAGATGCTACACTTGAAAATCAAAGTAAAATTTTTGGTACAAAAGTAGTTCACAAAATAAAATAAAATTAACATCATTGTTAAAACAATTAATATATTCCTTATTTCGCTTAGAATTTAAAAAGTTATTGGTTTTATAAATTATATTATTTTACTTTACCACTTTATTATTTTAAATATTCAAATATCGTTCGATATGTAATTAAAAATTATTATGATGTCTAACCCAATGGATACTGGTTAGGTCGTAATTTTATTAACGAACGAAAAAACTGTATAAAATCACTTTGAAGAAGAAACAAGTACAATATGGATACAGTAGGTATTCATATTGTACTTTTTTCTTTTTTGGTTGAAACATAATGCTTTTGTACAAATTGCACAATTATATACATACATGCAATAAAATATACTTTTAATAACTCCATTGGGCCGATTTTTTTAAATTTATTTCAAAATTAATTTGAATATTTTAATTTTTTTTTAAACAAATTTCGTACATAATTGTAAAACCCCTTATATGTTGAGTATATAACCCGTTCTTTTGAACGTTGGCAATTCGCAAAACTTTTGTGGTTTTTGGGCAGGTAGAGTGTCAGTTGATAATAATAATGTTCTATTTCTTAATTATACGAAGGCGAAACTTTTGTCACTTCCGGAATTGCCCAACTCCCACTCGTATGTTATAAACGTCGGACCCGAGTAATTAATCAACCTAGGCACGAGAGTACCAGAAGTAAGCTGGACGATTTTCACATTGCGTGCGTTTACAAATTTCGATTAAAAACAGAGTGATATATTTTTAATTGATTATGCATTTTCAACGATTAACTATGAAGATTTTGATTTTTCTCAATCATTTAATGATCTTAGTATTTTTTTAAATTCTACTATTTTACTAGGTATTTTACTTACCTGTATATTGATTTTTAATTTTATATAGCCTGTGTTATTGAAACTTATAAATCAAAATGTTTAAAAACTTGCTTGAAACTTTTTATATTTCACAAAAAGGTTAGACATTTTTTAATTTCACATCTCTGAGTAAAAACTGCTTTTATAAATTATTTAGAAATATACAAACAACAGGAGTATGTAATTTTTAAACACTTACAAAGTAATTTTAGGAGAAATTTCAAAGTGCAAGAAATAATCTTTGAAGCGACCCCCCTGGCCACGTCACTGAAGATTATAATATAATTAATTGTAAAGTACACCATTTTCTTTAATTATTTTGAGTTTCTTAAAGAAATTGATTACCTATTTAATATCTCACGATTAATAAACTACAACACAATTGAGTTCTGGTTTAAAATAAAAACAATGTATTATTGCGGATGGTTTAAAGGAGGTAATAAAAATGTTTCAGTGTCATTGCAAATTACCCCTCCTTCTTCTCCCAAAATTGATTTCTGGCTACTCCGCTTATTATATTCTCTATGCACGTAATAAACAATGTTTTAAACTTGCCTGTCGTACATTTATATTACATCAAAATTATTGTTTTAGACAGTCGATTTAAGTATATTATAATATTATTAATATCAAAATAAGTTTATATTAAACAAGTTTGTTGTTGATTTAGATTTTCATAATATTTGCGATATTACGTATGAAGCGAAGACGCGAATAATTTTAGCCCATCACCTTTGTTAAAAGTAAAACGGATCATAGCGGTAAGTCCTATGAAATTATAATTAATACATTTCATACATGTCACATATATTATTGTTGTTAATACATTTTATTCTGCATAATATAATCCGACGAGTAGGGGGTCTTAAAAGAGATACATTTTAAAACGTTATAATATTATGTACATAAATTGCACTTTAAAATATATAAATAAAGTTATATTATAAACCTTCACAAGACACAAGACGGATAATATTATTTCTGTACAGGATATACAAAGCGAATGTCAATTTGGATTGCATGATACAAGTAGGTATATTTTATTTTTTGTACCTACAAATAAAACCAAAAAAATAAAATTTTTTTTCAATATTTCAATTCAAATTAAAGATTTCTGTTTTGTTTAATTTATTCATAATGACTTTAAACTCGTATTAATATTATATGTATTTTAATACTTATATACACGGTGATTCACTAAGCGTAATCACCCCGTTTTTTTGCTTAAATTTTGCATGTACTCAAATTCTGAATTTTGGAGTTTTAAGTGTAGTTAAAGCCGATATTTTTGAATACTTAAATTTTTTACAACATTTAAGGAGTATCCTGTAGTGATACCAACTTTGGTTTTTCAAATGAGAACCTATATTAAAAATTCCCGTAAAAAGACAGAGTGTTACTTTAAATACATTTCGGTGTCAACATTTTTGATTTCCGCTAACCCGTTAACGAGATATTCCACTTTTAGTTTAGGAACGGGGAAAGTAATGGAATATCATTTGTGTGGCGGCACGGCATGCGTCGTTTTATTAGTGCTCATTACTTCCCCCTACTTAAAAATTCCAAAAATCAGAATTTGAATACATGCAATATTTAACCAAAAAAATGGGGTGAGCACGCTTAGTGAATCACCCTGTATAAGTAAAATATGGCTGACATTGAATTTGTATACAAATAAAATCTAAAATGCCAGATATACATCGCACCATGGATTGATTACTGTTTTATGTGGAAGGTATCATTATTTAAATCATAAATGTATACTGAAAGTAATAATAAATCGCTTCAATTAAAAAAATTCGTGGCGAATAAACTGGTAAAGATTATACTGTTGGCCGTGTTTTTTCCTTTTATAACTAAGATAACTGGAAAATTAAAAAAATAATAATATCAAGGTATCGGCATAATTTATTGTTAGGTTTATTAATTTCTTAGAAAAATTTTTGGGAGTTTAGATTTTTTTTCAAATGAAGTACCAACGAGCAAAAAATTCGAATCTTTAAATGTAAGTCATGAAAAAATTCGAAACTTCTATCAACCAAAAAAGTATGTTTCAAATTATGCAAAATAACACGTCTCGTAAAACTATTATATTTTTTCATTATTAAGAAAATTACACGGTAAATCAAAACCGATCTTCTTATTCAATATATTTCTTGTTACACTCAAAATCTAAGAAGTAAAAAATACTTACTATATTTTCATAAATATATTTTATATGACAAGATGTTTTAGACGAATAATATACGCGTATATATTATAGTTAGTCAAAATAATCCATTTGTAAAAAAATCACGATTTCATCACAACCTTAAACTTTATTATTATTATTATTTTTTGATGCATTCACAGTTTTCCGAACCAAACGAGGCGACTTTATTGCGGTTTTACAAATGTGTTTTTTTGCACGTGACAAATACGTGCTAAATGTATTTTTCGACTTATTATCTTTATAGACAGAAAATCGAATACAATGTACAGGGTTTTCCACATTTTATGTTGCAGAAAATGTCACCATGAAATTTATATTTATAAAATGGTCTATATGAAAAGATTATAGACCATAATATCGAACAAAACAGTGAAAGAAAAAAATAGCGAAAAAAATATTATTTTAATAAGTAAAAAAATATGAAAAATGTATTCAAAAAATCATAATATTACATTTTTAGTGTTAAGTTATAAGCTATACATTTTAAATAATTAATATTGTCGTTAGCATTGTAAGATAAGGTTAGGTTACGTATTTGTTCTGAATAATTTTTATCTATACTTTTTTTTTATGTTTTTTTGCACCAGCAATGATGAAATAAGAACACTGTTGTTCTCTAAATGTTACTGATCTTTCAACATATCAATAAATACCCATAATGTTGGATGATATGTATCTTAAATAGTTAACATTACATTATAAATTATATTGAATTAAAATATAAATTTGATAAAATATTTTTAACAATGTATTTTAAAAAACTAACCGCGTAATGAACTGAAACCTCTATGCTAACCCTCTACTGCATTGTTAGTCCATGGAAATAAGGTGCTTGCCGATTCGTAAAAATTACATAAACTAATGGAATATTTTGGTAATCTACAGATTTTTCATTAGAAAACAATGGTGATAAAGTTGATTTAATTATTTTAATTGATTAATAAAGAGGTGTACATATGTTTTTTGTGATTTGTTTGGTAATAAAGCATAAACAGTAGGTATCATCGAATTGGTTTTCAGTACATGTATTGTATACATTTGAGTGAAAAGTGTCGGAGAGCACTTTAATGTACCATCAATGAATCAAGTATTAAATTTTTCCATTAATTTTCTTTACTAGAAAATATTAAAATATGATCATCTGATGGACCGCTTTCGTACTGCATGAATTACCTTCCATCTTTAGTTAAAGTATACTTTTCAGGTATTTCGAGGTTAAAAAGTGGCTGAGAATTTGGCGTTGCACAATCATTACGTTAGCGTACTTTTCTTAAAGTGTATTTTAAATTAATTTTATTTTAAATTTATGTTGGATGTCGTTCAGAGAAAATCACTATATAATGCCCAAAACTTGAAACATCTGTATTACTGATTACATCCCTGAGTTATGCGTATTTTATGCCAAATCGATATTATTATAATATTTTCAAAATTGTCAGTCGCTCACGGAATTTTGGTTGCTTCTCCTGGATTTTATTTGATAAACATAATAATATTATTTCGTTATTCTCCCACTGTGTGGGGAATTATCCCAGTTTTACGATTTTCTCGTGACTAAATGTTATTTTATTTAAGTAACTATTGACCAGTACTCAAATTAAGAGGAAAATGAGAACGGACGCTGGTTTTAGTGTAGAAGCCATCGTTCCCTACTTGGTATCTGTAGGTATGGATATGTTACAGTGACGAGTGGACTATGTTCCTGCTACTCCCTACATACGAAGTGAATAAACATAATAAAAATGTATAAAATACTTTGTTGTTAACATTTATATACAATTTATTTTGTTTTACTATTATACAGAAAAACCACAACGATAAAATAATAATATTAATACAATTTTAAGTTTTAAGTTTATTTCCCAGGTACAAACCTATAGAAATTAATAACTCAATCTTAATTTTGTGTAATAATAATAAACAACAAAAGCGTTCCTGGGTTGATTAAATGTAGTGGTACACAAAAATTTACGAAAAAATGAAAGCAGTTTCCGTCCGCGTGCAATCGCTCCTTATCCGAGCACTGTATATAATATATAATGCTAATTCATCGCAAAAACGAAGATTCCTTGAATCATTTGGGTTTTGAAACAGAAAAAATAACGCTTCTAAAAAAACTTAAGGACTTAACTTTTGTTTTATCACCAAGGCACTAACAGTACAATTTAAAATGAACCTCATACTATATTTTCAAGCATTTATGTTTGGTCAAACCATTTTATTCATAAAATACCTACCAAATAAAAACTAAAAACTAGAAAATATAAAATATCTTTAAATAGCTCGAATATCTATATAAGGTAACTTGTTGATACCCAACCTAACCTTACCTAATCGATAATCTGATCTAGAAAAAAACCAAATCGAAAAAATTCAGAATAACGAAATCGTTAACGCTGTAAATTTGTCAGTTTTTTTTTTAGGTTTTTCCCAATTATTATAAAAACCGTTTAAATACAAAAACCTTTTTAGTGCTTCAAAATGCAACAAAAAATATTTCTTGTAACTTTTTGATTGGTACAAGATTTCGGGTAAAAAATTATTATAGGTTCAATTTTATCCGAGTAAATATTATATTAAATTCAAGTGGGTTATATGGTTGATTCACAGCTTCGGGGAACCTTTGCTTGGCATTAGCTAGATAAGCTTTGGAACCGTTTAAAATTTTCACACACATTTACACAAGTAATCATCGTCATTAAACATCTAAATTAAAAGTGCATAATTATAATATTATGTATTTGGGAAACAGTGTTGTTTGGACGGCTAAATCAGCAAAGTCTGTAAAGAAAAACTACTAAAGCATTTAAATTTATTCGGTCCGTGATCGAATAAAAATAATAAACCATACAGTCAACTGCAATATCAAAGCTTTAGAATATTATCGTTATCCGAATTGAGTACAAACTTATGATGATTATATAGCTTTGTATATATATACGAAGCAACAAAAATTGATTTTGCTTAAAACAGGTGTACCGTAAAGATTGTATAAGCCTTTTCAACAGTTTTCGAGACAATTCTCAAAAAAGTTTAATAAGTTTCTTCTATATATGTTCCAGAAGTTCAATTATAGAAGGGTACAGCGAGTTGCATATTTAAAACCGTATGAAACCCTTAAAATTAAATTATTACATTTAGTATGCACATAATATTATTTTCGTGATAACAAATTTATAAAATTTTTAAATGACTCTATCTGCAGTAAACTCTATCCAATAGAGTAGCTCTATGTGTCGTATCAGCTATCAAAAACTTGTTTGAGATTGATAAATTTGTAAAAATTCAATATTTAGGAGTCTATGAAAAACAGAAAAATTTGACGAGACAAATCAAAAATAAGGATAAATGTAAACTGTTATAATAAATAAATTATTATATTAAAAATATAATATTTTACAAATTCTAATAAAACTGATAATAATAATATATAATATTACCTAACATAGACAAATCACTATAAAATTTAAAACTAAACAAATCATAATTAAAAACACTTTCAGTTAGTAAAAAGACGTCGTAGGATAATGGGGACGAGTGAAATCACTGATAAAGATAATTTAATGTATACCTGCAAGCAACAATAAACCATTGCATACAAAAAAAACGATTCTTAGAGGAATTCAGTTAATAGTGATGCTTTGTCAACAATATATATGTCATATTATAGTAAAATAATTAAATAAGCTTTCTATATTTTCTTTAATAATATTTGTTTAATGTTGTACCAAATTTTCCAGTTTTCCTACGTTTTTCTCGGTTTTTCCATGTTTATCCTGGTTTTTCACATTTGCCTAGAAAGCTCATGTGAAAATCGAAAAATGACCTACCTAAAGTACCTCACTAGTGAAATTTCTTTTTAGAAACATTGCTATTATTAAAAATCGGATTTTCAAATTTCAAATTTGATAAGAAAACCCCTTAGAAAATCGAATTATGACCTCCTTAAAGTACCTCCTCACGCTGATTTTCTTTCAGAAAAGGTGCTATACGTAGAAATTCGAGTAAGTATTTTGGTAGAAAAGTTGCGCATATATAAAAAAAAAGTAAATAAATACGCATCCTAAGCTAACGAAAGCTTAAATTGATAGCTACAGATATTTTAATACGTTTTGTAGTGTTTAATACATAGTACGTTATTCTTTGATATTATTTAAATGTGATAAATAATATTATAGGCTGTGGTGACGGACTAAATAACAAATTATATCCTTTTATTCATATATGGCGACATTTGTTGGATTAGAATAACTAAATGTATTTTATTTGTATTAATATTTAATAAATTATATAAATTATGATAGGTAAGTAAGTAGGTACCATTACTATACAGTAAATTAGTATATCTACATTTTTTAAATTCATAACAAAGGATTCTCCAATCAAAATTTCACTGTTTGTTACGTACTCAATAAATAGTCACACTTAATAGTAAAACAAACTAGGTAGGTATATTGTTATTATGTACTGGGTTATAACTTTAAAAAATAGTAATGAAAATAAAATACAGTAAGTTAGGTTTGGTTAATTATGATTCATAAGTTACATTAAGAAAATAAAAACAAAATAGGTTTTATGTCAATAAAATAAAAAATTTACGGTATTTAGGTACCAATCAAATTTCTTTTTAGAAATGTCTATTTAAATTTAGAACTTACCTATTAGCGCAAGTTCTGGTTCATATATCTGTGTAATATTTTTAACAATAACTATCTATCAGTCTTGATCACTAAGGTAATTTTAAAAAGATAGATCTAACAGTTATCATAATATAAAAGTTTATGATAAGACCCACGGGCCTCGATTAAATGGTTTTACGTTCGCTTTAAGGAATTATACGTACGGAAAGTATATTTCCAGTATACCTATTTATTGGTATTATTAACCTAACCTAACCTAACCTTACCTAATTTTACATCTATGACTAGAGACTGGAACTAAATCACCTATTAGGAATGTTTTAGTTAACAGTTCAAATGAAAAATAATTAATGTATTATAACTACGGTTAACCACGAGTTAATGATATTAATGATCGCCAGAATGTTTTAAACATTTTATTTCGTCCAGAAAAAATCAATATTAGAAAAAAAAAAAAAAGAAAAAAAAGAATACAATCGAAAATAATGAAACCGTAATTGTCTTTCACTTTCCCAAGTTTTCCCAATTAGTATAAAAACTGCTTAGAAAATAAAAAAAATAATTTCTTGAAAGTATAAACTAGATCCGAAATTCTACATTGAAGCTCAATTGTTGTTTTTTGATTGGCACAAGATTATTGGTCTCTTCCTTCATCTTATCTATTGCTTCTTGGTACTTACCTATCATATTAAAACCATATTAATATAAAAGTAGATTGAACTGTACGTATACTGTATATTATATTTTAAGTAACCTTTAAATTAGCTTCAGATCCGATACTGTGCTATACGTAGCAGTTTGTTTTTAGAGACCTATTTTACCAGTACAAGTTAACTGTGAGTCTGAGAACCCCTTGAGTCACCCCTTATATCCGACACTAGATCATATTCTACCAAAATCGTTTAGAATAGACGATATTAACAGATTTAACACAATTAATAATAATCACAATAATTGGTCTTAATTATCAGTAGAGCAAATATTTATATTTTTTTTATTTCTCAGTTTACATATTGACTTTTAGAAGAAAAAGGTTAGTTATACCGTATTTTAAAATTTCCTCAAAATAATTTCAACTCAACATTGTTATCTACTCGTAGACAATATTTTAATTTGATTCATTCAAAAACGCGCACGGATATTGTAGCTACTATATAACAACTTATAATATACTAGTGAGAAATTCGAAACATGAGCTCCTTTTGAAAGTATGTATCATTCTTATAATATTGTCTGTTATTTATATATATATGATATATTTGTATACAAGCTTTTACTACATAGATATATATGTATATATATATATAAACAAAAAAACAATAAAATAATACACATCGTAGAGTAAAACCACGACGTGTAAGACAATAAAAATCTAAAAGAGAAAATGTGTTTTCGGAAATAATAAGACAAAATTGAAAAAATGATAATATTTTTGAATAGAAGATAATAGGAAAAAGCATGCATGCAGTAGCGTCGATATCGGGTTTTCATTATCTGAATATAATATAGTTTGAATTCGCTTTTCGTATAGTATTACAATAATATTATTTTATTATATTTTTAATTTAATTTTAGTTATATTTCATGACAATCGGCAGTTAACAATAGAATATATATATATATATATATATGTAGGTAATAACAATTTAATAACAGTAACAAGCAATAACAAAGCTATACAATAAAAAAAAAAAAAAAAACGTACAAATGGTATTAGTAGCCATAGAACGCAGCTAAAACAACTAGAGTACATTTGGATTATTAACACAGAGCATTCTGTGTTGTGGATTATTGAACCCATAGACAGGCGGGGGACATGAAACTGGCTAGGTTTTGTATTCTATGGGTAGGAACTTTGAATGGAATTTCAGCAAATTAGTATACCAGTAAATTTGGAGCGTTTAAGGTTCCATTTAAAAGAGAAGTTAAAAAGTGTTCATTCATATCGGCGCGGCGAGAAGAGAGGGATGGGATGTTAAACATACTACGTAGTCGAAAATAGTCATGGGGAGCCACATAAGTCAATTACACAGGATGATACCTCACCTAATATTACAAATTGCTTTCTACCTGTGATGTAAGATTTGAACCATCCAAGCAATGGGCATCCAAGACCTAGAACTCTAATTCATAAATAAGTAGCTCGTAGTTGACTGTATCAAATGCCTTTATGAAATCAGTGATAATAACGTCTATTTGAGAATCAGACTCAATATTTTAAACAAAGTAAGATAGAAAGGAAACACCATTTGTGCAAATAGATTTACCTGGCCTGAATTCATGCTACTCATCAATCAATATATGATTAAGGCTACGTCTAATGCTCTGATAAACGAAAGATTCAAATATCTTGGCACTATGTGAGATATGGATTTCGGTTTATAATTAGTGACATCAGAAGTATCACCGGATTTCAAAATAGGTTTTACAAAACAGATTTTTCAGATATTAAGGAACGTATCTTCATCTAAAGACTTTCTAAACAGTAGGAAAAACAGAGAAAAACTAGGCAAATGGCAGTTGAAGAGAAAAAGAGCCGGGATTGCATCTGGACCTGTCTTGGTCTTACTACATAAGGTTGATAGCGCGGATAGAATAGCCTCCGGAAAGATGCAGCAATTTGAAGTGAGATCAAAAGGCAGACTATTAGGGCTATGTGATTGGGGCAGGTTAGGGGTAAAACAACAGAAAACTGATTTAAAGTAGTTAGAGAATAGGTTAGCAGATTCGGATGGGTTATTTGACGATTGATCGCCAAAACATACAAAAACTGAAATTTCAGGATGTTGTTTAAGATCACGTGTCCTCCACGGATAAATAAACTTGAGTTTGTGTTCCTGTCAAATCTGAAAATATGGAACCCAACGAAACCTAGTTCAGCGTTACTTATATCTGGAGTGAGCCAAGTTTCAGTTAATATGATAATATTGAATTTTTTTTCCCCTTTTTACCTATACAAAGAAACAAAAAATGCATTTGGGGTGTACCAGATTCCTAAACCATCGCTCGCTCTGATTATTTTAATCGCAAAATACCCCGCGATTTGTTGTGTAAACTATTTTCTATCAGATATCTTGTTCTGATATATCAAGTTTAGCTTATTTTTTGAAAGGAAATTTTATCTACATAGCACACTAAAGAGATCATTTTTTGATTTTTCAAGCGGTTTTTATAATAAATGGAAAAAATACGAATATATTAGGTAAATATTACGATATCAAATATTACTTTTTTTTTTTAAACGATAGCACTTTTTTTGAGAGGAAATCTGACTGAGAAAATACTTTAGAGAGGTTATTTTTCGATTTTCTCAAGATATTTCCTAGCAAAAAAACTGTGAACAAATGGGAAAACTGGAAAAACGGGAAAATCAGTACATTATTAAACAAATATTAATAAAAACAAATATGTAATACCAATTTAATTATGTTACCATAATATGATAAATATATTGTTGACAAAGCATCACTATCAACTGAACTCCACTCAGAATCGTATTTTCGTTAGCAATGGTTTATCGTTATTTATAGATATACATTAAATTCTCTTCTGCATCTTACCTTCCCAACTTTCCACCTACAACAGTGGCTGCACCCGTGTAAGTATATCCGTCTATTTCTAAATAGTTTTACAATTACAATTCTATTTAAATCTCTAAATTAATATTCCATACAATAATAATAATAAAATAATCACACGATGAATAATTGTTGGACGATAGTCACTAGGAATTATCTATTATGATAAAGTTGCACGATGAAATTTTTAGGCGATGAAGTGGCATACGATGAAATGTCGTTGATGAACTGTCGCTTAGTAAACTTGTCTTATGATAAAGTGTCTGTAAAACAATCCCGCCTTTTTTCCCCCTATGTAGGTAACCGATATTTAGATAAAATATTATTTGTTTCACTCGAATGGTTATTTATGGGTTCAAGGTTTTCCAATATATCATCAACACCCCTTTTTTTTAACTTTAGAATATATTTTAAGGTTCTCCTATTATAAAAAATAAGAATTATTTTTATTTTCAGACTGAAGAAAATTAACCATCCAGTTAAATAAAATAATATTTTATAATTCTACTTTTAGATACTGAGTGAAGCGAACTATAAATTTTACTATGGTGAAGTTTTTTTTTGTGTCTGCAAACAATTTATCGAATAGAAATTTCGCTTCAATTGAAAAATGTATAAGACATTTTTTGTATTATTTTTGAGATGTCAGCTGACTAGTGCACTGAGGATGTCAGTTTTTGATTTTTTTAAGAACATATTTGTTTAGGGCATGTTTTAATCAGTTTCAGTGCTCAATATTTGATAGATTTATAGAGTATATAAATCTATGGCCTATTTATAAATTATTGTATAAGTAATAAATTTATTATTTTAAACATATTGCATGTGGTTACTACGAGAAGTAACTGTTATATTATTATCCAATACGACCCAACCATCGATCTGCCGGACGAACCTAGAGTAATCGAGAGTTTTTTTCGAAAAGCGACTCTTTCATTTTTTTTTCTTTTTCGTACACGAATTAAACGATATACTCGTATACGACTTTTACGCACATTGACACGGATTCGGAACTGAATGCATTACTATTATATACGAGTATCCCGTCGTCATCGACGACACAAAAGAATACCCCACCATTTTATCGTTTAGATATTTTCCTTTCTGATAGAGTTCGCTTCTATAATACACGGTACAGTTCTATATATATAAAATGGCCGTATGACATTATACTTCGACTCTCTCTTTCTATCGTGTCTTATATTTTTTTCGTCCAAACAAAACGAAAGTCCACCAAGAAAAAAAATCCTATAATAATACGTTTTTTTCCTTCCTATTATTATAATAATCAAATATAATCGGAACTTACCGTTTACTATAGCATACTCATTCTTCACGCGTCCATTCACAAACGTTTCGTCCGTAAATAATTAATGAATTTATACTATGCTTACCTATATTCAATATAAATATACACATAACCTGCAAATGACGTCGTCGTTCTCTTACAATCCGATTATATTATTGTATAGTTATCACGCCGATATATACAGAGTGATTTTTTTTTTTTATCATGAACCAGCAATTATCTCGGAGAATTTTAAGTGAATTTTATTTCTGTTTTTTCTAATCATTATGGAATCATTTAAGCTTTATTTTAAAACCATTATTAAGTTTTTAACCCTACTCCATATACCTTAAATAGGTATATTCTTTTGCTTCTCAAATAGGATTCCTCCCTCATTTTGAACACATATTTGAATAAAGAATATTTTTTAAGAGATTTTGATATGCATAATACTAATATTAGATTTATCGTTTATGAGTTATAACAGTTTAAAGTTTAGACGGAAGATTAGGGAAGGATAAAATAAACGCAACTTATTTAAGGTATATGGAGTAGAGATAAAATATTAAAAATGATTTTCAAATAAAGCTTAAACCATTCCATAATGATTAGAAAAAACAAAAATCAAATTCATTTAAAATCCTCCGAGATAATTGCTAGTTCATGATAAAAAATCGCTCTGTATAAGCGTGTTATTTAATTTTCAATCGATAAGAAAGAAGAAAGAATACGAATAAAGAAAGAGAAAAAACCAATGAACGTGAAATCACGAATTAAAATCGTATTCCCCCCTTGTTATTATTATCTTCTGCACATACATATTATACTCAATATATTATAAAAATCCCGTAAAAATTTCAACAGACTTTCACGCACTTTATGCATATTGTATGTGTATTTTTTAAAAAAAAAAAAACTTGTACTGATGCATAAATTGTAGCATCTATTTTCAAAGGAAATTGTATCTAGTTAGTATATTAGACAGGTACTAGTATTTTGATTTTTCAGTGGGTTACAAAATAATTAGGAAAAACCAGAAAAATACATGTATTATCTATAGTAGTAAAGAAATCAAAACACAGATACATTTATATATTATAAATTATGAAATTACACTAATAACTACAACTATAAAAGTGGATTGAGAAATAATATCCTTCTTAAGATTCGCTGACGATATTACACTCCTAGCTAACAATGAGCATGATTTGGAAAGAGCACTGGAAGAAATGGCGAGATGCTTCCACAAATATCAGCTGATTATCAACTGGCAAAAAACTAAAGTTATGATGTGCCAAAAATCAGACAGAATCCGGAGAATTAATATCCAAACAGGGAATCAGCTGCTTGAACAAGTGGAACATTTTAGATACCTAGGCAATCTAATCAACCAAGATGGAAGATGTGCCATGGAAATAAGATCCAGAATCGCACAGGCGAAGTCAGCATTTATGAATAAGAAAAATTTGTTATGCTCCAATAGCATGAGTATTGGAGTGAGGAAACGCTTCATTAAAGTGTATGTATGGAGTGTGGCACTATATGGCTNGGAACATTTTAGATACCTAGGCAGTCTAATCAACCAAGATGGAAGATGTGTCATGGAAATAAGATCCAGAATCGCACAGGCGAAGTCAGTATTTATGAATAAGAAAAATTTGTTATGCTCCAATAGCATGAGTATTAGAATGAGGAAATGCTTCATTAAAGTGTATATAAGGAGTGTGGCATTATATGGCTGCGAAACATGGATTCTGAATAAGGCAGAACAACGAACACTCGAAAGCTTTGAAATGTGGTGTTGAAGAAGGATGCTGAGAGTGAGTTGGATAGAACACCGTACCAACGAAAGCATACTTAGTGAAATAGATGAAAGCAAAGAGATTCTCAAAACCATCAGAGCAAGACGATGGAACATGATTAGGCACATATTGAGGCACGAAAATGAGCTAATCTACAGAATAATAGAAGGGAAAATGGAAGGCAAAAGGGGCCAAGGGCGTCCAAGAACTTCATTTGTCAAACAAATGATTTCCGATACTAGACTATCAAGCTACGCCGAACTGAAGAGGTTAGCTGGGAACAGGGAAGAGTGGAGAGCGCATGTCCAACTGCAAAACCAACCTTAAGGGTTAAATATCAAGAGAGAGATACCTAGTGTAACTATTCTATATTGTATTTATAATCTATATTATTATTTAATTATTAAGACTCTAAACTTATTGAACTTAAAATCCACTAAAAACCACTTAAAAATATTAAAAAAGCTCGTAAGTGACTCACAAAAACCCAGATTTTTTCTAATATGATTTTAAGGCAATTTCGCCACATAGTCTATTATTCAATATTTTTTCGTTTTTGATTTATTTTTTATTATCACATCTGTCTCGTGTAGTCTCAAAAATTCAGGAAATGAATCTCAAAAAAATGCTTTTACTTGGTTTCTTTTGCTTTTTTCAAATATTATATAGGTTCTCATTTCAGTATCTAAAGAAAGCTTTTTAAGGGCTTTTTCACGATAAGGATTTTAAAAGCGTTTTTATTGATTCTATGTGTTATAATTTCCGAAAAAAGTTAATATATTTCGAGATAACGAGCATCTTACGCTAGATTGATTACTCCAAATATATAAAACGGGCGAATAAAACGCATTTTACTGAAATTATTTATCTCCGGCTTTTTAACTCCCACATTTCATCATAAAGTGTTAACGTTTATTTAAATAGGTTACGTATTTAAACGTATATACGGATAATTAAAACGTAATTAAATATTGTTATTATATTACGTGAACACAATGCCTAGGTCGTTTCGGGGAATTAAGTTTTTGCTTATAAAAAAAAAAAAAAAAAATGTAATTCAAATTTTAAAATGTCAAGTTTACATTTTAAAAAAATGATATAATACATTCATTAATCTTTGAGCAAATGATAATAATTTAAAACTAAACTTCTTGATGTGTAGGCATAAACTAATTACTGTAATACTTCAAGTTTTCTATTAGAATCATTGATACAATCAAAAATTTGATAGGCACTTTCTAGTAGTATTTTGGATTTATTTGGTGCATTAAATTATTTTTCATTTTTCCTTGTAGTTTTCCTAATAATTGGGAAAAATGGTAAATTTGTTGTTGATTTCATGAGTTACCTAAGCAACTAAGGAAAAACAAGACTAATACTATTCCACTCAGAATCGTTTTTTGTTTGATATGATTTAACGTTGCATATAGTATCATATATTAAAATAAATAGGGACGAAAAAATTAGATGTATTTTGACGAGTTACGGCCGAAAATTGAAATTGTATACTATTATAATAGTATAATTATCATTAATTATTGGTCGATTGTTGATCTGTAATACTAGCATAACAGTCGGTCATTGATTGGCGTTTAGGTGACTTAGGCCCCTTTTTGCATTTTTTTGTATAAAAATTGAAACACCCAATATGTACATATTATATCATAAATATATTAAATAAATATTAATATATTTTAGATTTTGAGCATAGCAATGAATTTATTGGTTTTACCATGCACATCATAGTAATGCTTATTCATTATTTTCTTCTATTTTTTAAGTGTTTTTCATATGATAATTAAAAGAACCACCGACTAGTTTTCTCCAACCCAAATATTTTTATAGTGTAAGGTAACCAAAATAAAAACCCAAATTGATTCTCTTATCACCATCTATTGGGAACTTAATTTTGCATTACTGAAAAACCGGCCAGTGAACAATCTTTAATGATTGTAATCAATGATAATATCTTTAAACTATAGTTACTTGATTTTAATAATTTTAAGATAAATTGAATTATAAATTATACTAAAAAACAAAAATAATTAAAAAGGCGTTGATTCTGGAGACGGGAGTGTCACTCTTGTAGGTGCGAAGTTGAAAAGATAGTATACGTTAAATTATCCACGTTATTATTACGTTATTATTAATATCCATATTAAACAATTAACCAGTGCTTACGAAAAAACAATTCTGAGCGGAGTTCAGTTGATAATAATCCTTTGTTAACAATATAAATGTTATTTTATAATAAAATAATTAAATAGGCTTTAAATAGGTTAAGTCCTTACATAAAATGTGATTGAAGCAACTATTTATACAGGCTGTTGTACGAGAGAAATAGTTTTTCTATCAAGAATACCTTTGATTCCATCTGACTACCACTTTAAATTCAAATGGCTACAGTTTTCAGTCAAGATCTGTTTTGCCATGATAATTAAAAAAGCGCAAGGGCAGAATTATTTGAAATTATTATCAAATTATTTGAAAGTGGCGCAGGAATGGATTTAAGGAATGATTGTTTCTCCCATGGCCAATTATACGTTACCTGTTCACATGCAAGCTCTCCTAATAGTCTGGTAATATTGCTGCCTGAAGAAAGAACCAAAACTATTATATATAAAGGAGGTATTATAAAAAAAGTCTAAAATACTGATTAAGCGTATGAAATAATTTGCACACATCAATTTTACCCATATTATATTCTAAAATAATAATATTATAAATATGAAAAATACAAAAAAAAATTACACAGGCAAAACCGGGTAATTCAGGTAGTTTAACAATAAAATTAAATAAAACAACCGATTTTGAGTATTTATTATGTGTTTTAGGTCGTATTTAGATCGTTATTAGTCGTATTTTTATGAAAGGATTATTAAAATAGCACTTAAATAAATAAAAATGATTCTATATCCCTAACAAGTGCATATCATATAAATTCACGTGGAACACCATAATTACGATTTTTGACACGATAAGTAGAAAATAATGGTGGTAATAATTATTTCTGGAAAAAAATCGAGTGACCCCTTAATTTGTAAGAGAATTTTGCAAGAAATTGACTGGTGTGGTTTTTTTTTTTATTTTGTATGAATTTTTACGAATAAAATTGGTAAAAAATAGTTTTGACATTAAAAATAAATTCAAAAAATCTATTCTTATAGCCTCACAAAGTAAGACTCCGTAAGGTTGGTCATTATTTTCTGAAACACTCTGTACAAGATATTATAAATTATAAAATACCTAAATTTTTTTAGTTCATATTTTAACTAATCGTTTAAAACAAATAATTAACAATAATAATACTAATAGAGATAGATAACGGTTTCAAAATTACGATCACTCATCGATTATTTATGTAATTGCATCCCCCAAATACGATTGAGATCCTGGATACGATATGTCATAATTTAATGACAATCAATTTCTGTTTATGTGTACAGTGTACACTCTATCGACGATAATATTACCAATTTACATAAAACGTCTGTGCCTGATATTATGTATAATTTACCTGATACATATCCGACAGTTATATATAGAGGAAAATAACACAAAGGATAATATTGTTTTCACGGGTCGTGAATACTCGGTTAAACGTCAAAGAATATAATTTAGATCCGAAATTTCCTATACTTGGCACATCTTCAAGTAAGCAGTAAACTCCACATAAAATGTCAAGATTATAGTACGGGTTGTTGTATAGTAGTAATGGAATACTGAAGAAGCAACATCCGATTAAGCAATGGACTTAACGCAACCCAACAGCTAAATTATAACTAAGCCTTAACTTTTAAACCAGATTTGTTTGTTGATTTTTATACATTTTAATATTTCACATATTTTTAACTCACTTGAAAATTGATATGCCCTAAAAGAACGGACAATGTTATGTGACTCGTTTATGACTTTCCCAATTTCTCGACAATTTTTGTAACAATACAACTGTATTGTTATTTTAAGCGATCAGTAGTCCTGCTTAGTTTTAAATTGTATTATTACTATTATTATTATTGATTTCTAATTTCCTTCAATTACACGTATTACAAATAATAAAATAACACATTTAATAGTATCTAAAAAAGAAAATAAACATGATACACAATCGTATAAAATTATCTTTTAGATTCTGAGCGTAGAGAGAGAGCTATTGATTTTACTAAGATGTTTATTTTTTTTTCCTTGTTCTTTGTTCTTTGTTCTATAGTCTATGGTCCCATCGACACATTTTTTCCTAATAAATTTATTCCGATTTTTACGTGTAGCAACTTTTTTGAAAGCTTAAGTTGTCTACATTGTAATCTAGATCATTTTATGGTTTTTGACGCCATTTTTTAAATAAAAGCACTTAAGTGGGAAAAAAACAGGAAAACGTACAATATGTATAATAATGAAATTTCACGATTTCATTATTACATAAAAACACGGACGAAGTTTTCTACCAGAAAAAATGATTAAACGAAAAATCACTAGATATTTTTTTGTTGTCTTTTTGATTTACTTTCTAACGGTATTATTGATAAAACTTTTGAGCCATTTTTGAGCTTTTAAGAAATTTTAATTTTTAATAGTTTTTTTTTAATATAATTCGGTTATAAGACTTGAAACTTGGTAATAATACTTATAATGGACTTATCTAGACGTGGTAAAATTTTCAAAATCATCAGACAACTTTTTTTTTTTAATAATCGTTTTAAAATTAAATTTAAATGAAAATCACAAAAAAAAATACGGCACTTCAAATTATGTATTACCAAACTGCGCTCGGAATCGTCTTTCGTCAAGCAATGGATTATTGTTGCTTACAGATATAAATGAAATAAACTTATATATCCTACCTTCCCAACTTTCCACCTACAACAGTGGTCGCTCCTATCCCCAGTATCAGCTCTCTTATTATAATTGATGATATTGTATGATTTTTCTTCGAGCGATTTATATTTAATTGAATTGTACGATGTTATTTATTTCTATATTTTTTTTTATTCATATATATATATATATTACGAATACGTGATGTATACACATCACACAACTGTATATGTATTGTTTTCTTTTTTCTATGGACGATTTTTTTTTAAGTTACAACAGGTTAGAAAGAAAAAAAAACCCAATGGCATTTAGTTAATCGTCTGGAAACTCAGCCGAAAAAAAACATTATTTTTATTCTATACACTTATACGACGACGGCCACGGACTAATCATAAATCGTACTTGCGACTTTTGAACACGATCATTAATCGTCTTAATGAAGTTTACCACGTATCGCTATATATAGATACTATATATTCTTGTCACCGGCATCGTTAACAGCCATAATTCCT